TCAAGCAGATCCTAATCTGTCTATGTAATCACATTCCCGAGCTGGATCTGCTCCGCATTGCCTTGTGGGTCAGGCTATGTAGTCAAAGGCTCCACCGAAGCACAACCGCCACCTCGCGTGCGATTGCCCACCAATGCAATCGTATGCGTGCACGCAAAGCACTCAGCATCGTGTGCTGGAACGTGCACGCACTACTGGACCGGAACTCGAGTGAGCAACCCGAGCGGCGCACTGCACTGGTCGTGATGAAACTGGCGCGCTACATCATCGATATTACGGCGCTCAGTGAGACTCAGCTCGCTGAGCAAGGTAACTTGCATGAAGGAGCTGCAGGGTACGATTCTACTGGGTGGGCAACCCCACGTTCGCGGCACGTGAACATGGGGTCGGATTTGTAATATCCGATCGCCTAAATGGCCAGGTGGTGGGTGAACCAACAGGCATCAGCACGCGACTGATGACTGCTCGCCTACGACCCCGTAGACGTACGTTTGCCACTTATATAAGCACGTACGGTTCGACCATGTGTTATCCTGATGACACGCGTGATCGATTCTACACTCAGCTATCCACCGTGTTACGGCCTGTGTCGAGGAGCGACCGACTATTTCTGCTGGGTGATTTCAACGTGCGCGTAGGCGTCTGTGTGGACAGATGTCATCGGTCCGCATGGCATTGGTTCAGCGAATGCGAACGGTGACAGGCTGCTCTCACTGTGTGCCACTCACGACTGACGATCACGAACTCTCGGTTTGCACTGAGTGAGAGTGATATAGCAACTTGAACACCCACTGAATCATCACGCTCACCTACTCGACTATGTCATCGAACGTCAGCGTGACATGCGCGACGTGCGCAAAACACGTTGTACTGCATGCAGCTGAGTGTGGCACTGATCGCAAGTTGATGCGGACCAAACTGTACATATATTTTCGTAAATCGATGTATTGTATTCCCGCCATGAATCGGCGTAAATTTAATATTCTCTCCCTGGTACGGTGGATAAACGTTTGAGCTGGAGAAGACGATGGCTGCACGACTGTATGATGTGGAATGCATGGCCACAGTGGGCGACCTGTGGCACCACATTCGCGACCAGGTGACAGCTGCTGCCGAGGAGACCATCGGGTGCGCAAACTGAAAGCGGCCTGACCGGTTTTATGAGAACGATGCGACGATTGGCACATTGTTGTCGGAGAAGAATGCAGCATTTGCTGCACATGTGGCAGACCCCAGTGATTTTGTGGAAGAAGGGAAAGATTGCGCTAACTCGACTATGACTTACCTGAGAGTTCCGTCGCATAAAGAAGACATTGTGGACGGAAATGGCGGAGCATATGGAATGCTACGGCGAACACCGCCAACACAAGAAATTCTTTGTTTCCTTGAAGGCAGTGTATGGACCGAGGTTGGAGCCGCTGATCGATGGTAGTTCAGGCGCTACCTGCACACGGACTACAGACATAATGCGGATCTGGCAAAAACACTTTGACGGTCTCTTCAACAACGGTTCAGAGATCGATTGGCCTACTTTGAACGGACTCAAGCAGCACAATGTGAAAGCGAGTCTGGCGGACACGCTGACAGTGGATGAGATGCCGAGAGCACTTGCTTAGCTGCGAGACGTCAAGTGTACTAGTACCGACGGCATCCCGCCTGAAGTATTGAAACACGGTGGACGCACGCTGGTGACAGTGCTGTACCACTTAGTGCAACGCGTGTGGATTGACGAGGAGGCGCCTTCTGAGCTGAAGGATGCCTTTGTACTACCACTGTACAAGGGCGAAGACAGCAAGCAATGTTGCACGAACCATCGTGGCATCAACTTGCTGAGTTTTATGGGCAGGGTGATTACCCGAATCCTGCTCAACCACCTCTTCACTCAGGTTGTAGAACCGAACGTGGCGGAAGAGCAATGTGGAGTCTGTTCGGGTCGCAGCATCATCGATATGGTGTTTGCGGCTCGTCAGTTGCAGGAAAAGTGCAGAAAACGACATCAGCCGCTGTTACTCGCTGTTTGTTGATTTTATCAAAGCATTTGATACAGTGGACCGCGAGGCATTTTGGCGTGTGTCTGCGCTGGCATGTGTGCGAAGGTGCAGCTGAGTGGACAGACCTCGGATAACTTTGTAGTTGTCTTTGGTGTGAATCAACGCTGTGTCTTAGCTCCTTCCCTGTTACATATTTATCTTCATGGTAATATGTCATGGGCTTTTGATGCACCTTGTGGTTGCGGTGTTCTCGTGGATCACCGCAATTATGTTGAGTCGCTAAAGATCTGTCCTTTCGGTGCGATAACGTTTGTGGGTGAGACAAGTTACTGTTTGCTGACGACTGTGCGTTGTCTGCACCTAGCGCGGATGAGCTGCTGCACATGACTTGTGCTCTGGCTTTGACGGCGGCCAAATTCCGGCTCCCCTTCAACACAGGCAAAAGTGTCTGTCTCTTTTAGTCTTTACCGAAGGTGCATTCTACAATGGTTCCGCTAAACAGCGTTGGTGATGAAATATTGTGAACTACCTCCCGCTTCTGCTATCTTTGGAGTGTGATTTCGACTGAACAGCAGCTACACATTGAGCTTCATATCCGCGTGTCGAAGGCAGCGGCGGCATTCGTGGAGCTAGAGTATCAGGTGTGAAATAACCATCTGCCTGCCGTTGGCACGAAGCTGATGGTGTACAAATCCATGGTGCTGTCCGTTCTTCTATACGGAAGCGAGACCTGGACGATGTACTGGCGGGATGTGCGGTATCTCGAGCGGTTCCATCAATAGTGTCTGCGACGGATTCTGCGCATTATTTTGTCCGACTGATTTGCGGACACGGAAGTGTTGTGCTTACGTGAATGTATGCAGTGCACTGCATACTTTTGCTGAGGCACGTGAGTTGGCTTGGTCATGTGATTTATCTGGATTCGGCGCTTATACCTTTGCGGCTATTATATGATCAGCTGAGTTTGAGGAAGCGGCTTGTGAGGAAACCGAATCTTCCTTGCCGAGACATGACCAAAGGAAGCCTCTGACGTTGTAATCTTGATTGCAGGTCATGGGAATAGAAGACGGTTGATCGGCGTGCATGGCGCGATCTTATCACCAAGGCCGTTGCCATTGTGCGAGATAAAGCCGTCCTGCATGCAGAGAAGAAGGGGCAATTGCGGAAGTGACAGGCGCCGATGGGATGTACTCCATCAGCATCGAGCGCAGTTTGCTGTAGCACATGCGGTCGCGAGTGCTTGAGTCAGGTAGACCTAGTGAGCAATGAACGAGGCCACTCGGGACCAACACCGAAGCGACAACGAGCCCTGCAGAGAACGTAGGTAGAACCAGCGCTACGTTTGTGGGTACGCTGCATTCGATTTACTAAATGCGTACTTGCATGCTGGGTCACTATTTCAGGTGGTAGGTTCGCTATGTTGTCTCATTAATGTCTACATGAACTCTATTCTATAAACCTGCACACGTCACTGCTAACTGCAGGTAACTAATAACATTTTCGCGTTTGTGGCGTTTTTTGAAATATATTTTCTGACGTCTTGAACCTATAGCAGATTTGTTCGTAGCCAATTTATTTCATATGCCCATTTAGTGAAGAGTTTTACCACCGGATCTGTATGCATTGTTTCATTTATCGTATTTGATATCGTTGTTTTTAAGGTGATGGGCTGTTGCTTGATATCCCCGGTGTGGCTGCGCTTGATGTGCATGTTGGTAAGGTGCCTGCCTGTCTATCACCCACCAACTCATCCATAATGGCTCCAGGAGACATTCGGTCTTTGCTTGTACGGTCCTTGTGGTCGTGTTAGGCTCGAAGGGTGGTTCCATGCACTAATTGTGGAGCAGACTACGGTCCAACCAACGTCTTGTGTGCGCTTGATTCCCCAAATACAGCGTGCTTGTGCTTGCATTTGAAGGAGTGTGGGCCGGTTCCGTTGATGAAACGTGGCTCCCATCTACATGCCTCCCATTCTTATTCCTTCGCGTCTACACTGGATATGGGGTTGCAGCTGTGGGTGGGGCAACGCAAGCTACCCATAGTCCCTCCGTAGACGCAAGCGTCCTGTGGCTGGCCACAGTGACAGGCAAATCCGGACCCGGATGCCTCCGTGCAGTATATATACTTGGATCATGCGGTCGTAAATCATCGTTCTTATTCGGGGAACATATTATCATAGGCGCCCAAGGTTTAATATTTGTGCTACTTGCTGGTTTACGAATGTTATCTACACATTGGAAATCCTGAGCTTTGAACTGTTACGGCGGATTTGATGCTAGAACATTGAGTATTATAGGGATATTTGTACGCATTGCAGATCTCCAATGAAAGCACGTATACCTCACCCATTTTGGGTTGTTATGTTGGGTATCGAAACTGCTGTGAGAACCACACAGTTGTGGTATGAGGAGAATCATCAACGTTTTGCTGTTTTTCTTCATCCTTTCTGACTTATGTATTTAATAAGTTTGCCTTTTCGAAATAACGGCGGCCGATGCAGATCTAGATTGAACTTTACAGTAGTTGTGACTATTCCCTAGCTTCTGTGTCCATAGGATGCCAGTATAGACCGTTGAACGTTCTACCTCGGAAGCCCTCACTTTATTAACCGAAATGCCAAATGGTGAGTTTTGGACCACGGTCTACTAGACGGATGAATTTGACGGAACTTACTGCCACTACTGTTAAAACCTTTAAATCAGTGGGACCACGGGACTGCGTTTGCTTAAGTTCAATTAACCAACCTGTTAGATGTCGCTCTCATTGTGCCCACCTTTTCTCGCTTGGTTTTCCTCAACTGGATGAAGGGTATGTAAACTGTCTCACCATGCGGTTTTCCAGTCCCTGTACAACAATGTCGGTGCTGCACAAAAATTGTGTTGGAGTTTAATCCTCCACCTGTCGTCTATTTTTACGTTTTTACATAATTTACGAGTAATCCTATAAGTTCTTCACTTATTTCATCTTTTCCTTACCTGGTAATTCTGGCTCTGGTATCCTTATCGCCAGCTTTCTGGGACCGATGTCCGTTGGATAAAAGACACTGTTTATCTGGGGATTCAGTCAGCCGTGACGCGTATCGTGCTCAACCCTCTGTGCTTCACTCCGGTCCAACAGTCCCTGCCTACACAAGCAGCAACGAAGCTCGCCCAAATGGAACGAAGCGCTGTAAGTTATTTTACCTTATTCTTTCTTCTTTCTGGTCTTTATGCTGTCCAAGCGAGCAAATCGTTACCTTTTAACCATTTGTCCTTTCTTGAAAGAGCATGCTGATCACGCATTTGTGCACTCTGGATTTTATCCTTGTCTCGCCATGGCATTTTGTCACACACCATTGGATCTATACTTATTCGTCTTGTTTTTACAAGCTCTCCCTCGAGATTCCATTTTTCCCAGTACACCACAGTGCATCCCACATTTACCTTGTTTGGGTAAACTAAGGGCACTATTTCACTTATACCCACGTGTAATGATTGCACGCTTTTAATCGCCGAACCTCAAGGTTGTTCTCACACGATAGAACATTTCAACATCGTTTGCGCAAGCTCAGTCTAATTCTAGTCCAACACTACGTGACTCAGCCAACGAGTAATCCTCATTTCTCCGCAACCAACCCCACCCAGCATTTACAGTAAGTCCGATATGTTTGTATTCATCCCCGTAACCCAGCCATGATCGCGCACATGATCCCGCACACTGGGAAGCAATTCTAAATTGTCCGGATGTCCCATCGGCAGATTGTGTTTCACCGCAAACACGTACTCGCCTGCATCACGTTTAGTGCACACTCACTTGCGCGCGAGCGTAATGGACTTCGCTTAACCCTCTCTCACTCTGTGCGTATATTAGAAGCACGGCGGCTCTGCTACTGAGCCTGGTAACCCCAAATTCCAAACGCTGCAGTTGGTGGTTGGATGAGGTACAGACAAACCACAGTTGAACGATCGATGGATGCTGGTCTCAGTGCGGCCGTCAGAATTTGTTGGCGGGGCAAGACAAGCGGTGACATTTTAGTCCTTTTTCTGTTGATCGTTGTCCCGTCGGTGACGTTTCTCCAACCGGAACCCCGTTCCGTGCCTGATGATCAGCGCGTTCTTATTATTCGGCAATATGTTGATTATGGATTCTACGCTGCAATAACTGCGCGAACATGCAACACTCTCAACGCTGGGATACGGTCTGTCAACGGCTGTTACGTACTTAGTGAAAAAGTTCCACGAAACTGGGTGTGTGCAATGACGGAAAATCCTTGCGGCCTAACACCGGTACGGATGATTTTTCAGATTGCAGTGTTGTTTTTGAAATATCTAACGGGCAAGCTCTCAGCATGCGTAGAATTGCCCAGCATTATGACACCACCCGATACGCTGTCCAGAGAATTTTCAATGATGTAAATTTTCGTTGGTTTTCGGCACTTCAGGTTCAGGTATAGAACCCAAGCGATCCAGATGAATGCGATGCATTTTGCCGTTGTTTTTGGATCACACACACTTTCACTTTGCAATTTTCATCGATGAGTCAGTTTTTTTAGTTTGCATGGAATTGAGAAACGGCATTTTTGGGCTAGATCTAATCCACGCTGATACGCAGCTTCACGTATTAAGCTTAGCTCAAAGCTCATGCTCTGGGCTGGATTAGCTGGTCAGAAAATCGTTGTACCATTTTCCTTTTCCAGGAATGTGATTGGTAAGTTGTTTTATATTACTCAACCGTTACTTTTCCTATCATCCTCGTACTAGGAAATGCACTATACTCGCGTACTTTCGCAGTTGGAGGCCAACGGAGTTTTCTGTACCATTTGGTGGCGACAGAATGGTGCACCAACACAATATGCTCAGTCGGTGCGGAAATAACTCAACGAAAAATTCGGCCAACGTTGGATCGCTCGCGGAGGACCAATTCAGTGACCCACACGGTCGCTCGATTTAAACCCGATGAACTTTTTATGGGGGTATTTGAAACGATGGGTATATAAAAACAGGTGGAATTCGCTCTATCAAATGAAACATAATGTTGTGAATGAATGTCACGCGATCATCACCGAGTCGTTTGAGGAATTGCTTGTCAACTGCATCACGCAATTTCTTTACTGCAAACTATATGATGTTCAGCACTTTCAACATCTCATTCTATGATATCTATGTCTGTTTAACCCCGCTTCTGTTTATCTACGTCTCCTATATTACAAATGAATTAAAGACTAAATCGAATAAATGGTGCGAATAGTGGGTAATGACAAACTGAATTTACAGCGCTCTGCACCATCCCGCATATCGTGGTATTTGGAAGGAAACTGTGCTTGACTTTTCTAATGTTGTTACAATACTTGTATAGGTTCATTTTTTGTTGCTGAGGCGGATGCAGTCGTAATTGTGGCTGTGGCCTCCGTTTGGGTACAACGCAGGAATAACATCCATAGTCTCAAAATACTGAAAACCTGCTTGGCAGATGGATTTACAATAATCTATTTTAATAGTAGCCTGTGTTGGTTGATCAGTATTTGGGTAGTCCACCTGGACACAAATTGGGCTCATGCAAACATGGGAATGAGCTGCTCAGTAACGGGTAATCTTTAACTATCAAAGATGTTTAAGGAAACAGAACTTTCAGATGGCATGAATCAACCTTGAAACGAACCTGGCTCAGTTAACAACAAGTCAAAATACTAAAGGCGAGAATATACTCCTCTGTCCAGCCGCTGTTATTCCTAATGTGAAACGCCTAGTTGAAAGTTGCGCCCATTTTCTTATAGTGGTTTGTTGGAAGCTAGTTTTCGGACTACCAGCGCATCATCCATGACTGTGTTTGGTCATCACCTTGGATAAAAATAAAGGCACAACGAACCTTCATTGCTCAGGTGTATGTTGGGCTATCTACTTCTCAGGGAACATAGATCGAATGTAACAGCGGAAAATGACAGCGACAGTTATGCATCACGTGTAGGTTCGTCCGACAACACCATAACCAATCTTTACCTTAGTAGACACAGTACGTTACCGATGACTTCAGTGCCACGACTAACCCTCGGTTAGTATAGAGCCGGCTGGCTGCCAGTTTTCTGCATATAATCGCAAAGCTTACGCTTATTCACAGAAGCTTGCGGGTTCACGGCTATTTTCCAGCCACATAGCACGACCCAAGGAAAGTCATCGATCGTTCCACTTACGTGTCGCCCGCTTTGCGAAGACAGCGATCAACAGAAAAGTGACAAAAATGTCACCGCTTGTCTTGCCCCGCCAACAAATTCTGACGGTCGCATTGAGACCAGCATCTATCAATCGTTCAACTGTAGTTTGTCTGTCCCTCATCCAAGCACCAGCCGCAGCGCTTGGAATTTGGGGTTACCAGGCTCAGTAGCAGAGCCGCCCTGCTTCTAATATACGCACATAGTGTAAGGTTAAGCGAAGTCCATTACGTTCGCGTGCAAGTGTGTGCGCACTAAACGTGGTGCAGGCGAGTACGTGTTTGCTGTGAAACACAATCTGCCGATCGGATATCTGAACAATTTGGGATTGTTTCCCAATATGCGCCAATGTGCGGAATCATGTGCGCGTTCATGGCTGGGTTACGGGGATGAATACAAACATATCGGCCTTAACGTCGGCAAATCCGCCTTACGATCGATTGATTATGCCACGTAGCTCTGTTAACCCCAACGTTTATGGGATTGCAACACAGACAGCCGCAATGTGCCGATGCGGCAACGCTAACCAAGCGTCATCTTCCCAACGCCACCGTATGACCTTGACTGCATTGTGCGGACATAATTCTATGTGTTTACACTCTCGGTTACCCCTCAGAAGAGTAATCTAATGTTTTAGCCCCACCATCAACTTGATCGGCAGCGATTTTTCAGCCTTTTCGTGTAGACCTTGCAGGGAACGACATCTGCATAATTGACGATCCCACTGGCATACACTGCTTGTCCACAGTTAGCTAAGCTTAATGCTTCAGAATTGTACGCTAATTTATGGCGCAGGAGGCTGTGTTAAATGTGTGCGGTTTGGAATAGGATGCACAAACTGCCGTAAACTATTCCATCCTAGCTCTACTTGCCTTAGTCTAAGTCAGCTAAATAAACCTAATTATACGATTGATTCCCTCTGGTTCTGCATTGTTTGTTGGGCTGTTCCGCTAGTCTATAAATAGTTGTGTTGGCACGGAAGTACGGCAGACTGACAAAGGTTGTAGAGCCAGCAGCTTTCTTGAGAGCAGTCCCACTGCAACCAGACGTATCCTTGCCTCGAATTCGATGCTCAACCTCAAACTCCAATTCAGAGCATTGTAGTTAGTCCGAAAATAGGAGCACAGATCCAGTGTTAGCCCTCATCTCTGATTCTAGGGTCTACTTATAAAAATGCTTTTGCCACACATTCTTCATCAGATCTACCCTCCACATGGAATAATGTTAGAGGCCCGACAACACACGCGTTCATTGTTATTACCCACATGACAGTGTCAGCTATCGTAACCCCGCCTGCTGCTCATCTATATTCAGTAAATACTACCAACACGACCACGGGACTCGAGACATTGTCAGTTGTCCAGCCAAAGGAAGCAGCCACAGGTCCTTCCCAAGAGGAGAACGCTATACAGTATCATAATTCTCTGACAGTTATTTGTTTCAATGTGCGTGAATCCAGTCTAAACTCCTACTACTGTCTACTAGACAATAAACGGTGAGACTCCCTATATCAACTAATATGTGTTCCTCCAGTATGATGTGCCTCGTCCTTCATCCAAACTCCATATGCTACGGTGAACCGCGGTTACTCCATGTAACCTTTCAATCAAGTAATGATGCAGCGATATTTCTCTGGACAGCTCCTCGCCTCAGTACCACACCATGTATTGTTCGAATTTTTCTATCTGTTCTTTGGAATAAACCTCAGTAAAGCAAACAAAATCCGGATGACTTCAGCGTACAAAAATACGTAAAATCGATCCTTGTCCACAGCGTCCCTAGCAAGACGAGCTAGAGGCCAAAAAACATGAAAATAAAGTGCTGTCACTCGAAAGCGTTATCGCCGATGCGACATCAACGTTACCGCGGTCACCTAACTACAAAGGGTGTAGTCCCCGAGTGATGAAAGCTACATTGAGTTGCAAACTGATGGCAGAAAACGTGATCGAAATGTGGCGCGAAATGCGTATAAAGGCGATACCCACCCACTGAGCAGTCAGTTCACCTGTACAACTGTCACCACGCAGCTCAGAACGGGGACAATGTCAAAACACGCCTAGGGCCTGCGTCATCGGTCTTACAAAAAGACGAACGGCCGCCGACCCTGCAATGGTCAGCATAGACCCTCCTTGAAAATCGGCATTCACAAACACGCTTCTAACCTTCAATGCTCTCACATGCTTGTACATCAATGCGCGAGGTCTCAGCATGCTAACCGAGCTTCATATTCGTCAGCTCTTCACGCCTTGGGAAATAGTTTTGGTCGCCGAAACGTGACTGAACACGGAGATCACCGATGCTGAGATTGCTCTACGCGGCATGACTTTCCTACGAAACGATCAACCTAGCAGAGGAGGCGAAGTGCTCCCGTGTTACCGATCCGACCAGTATGCTGATATCATCGACGACCCATAAATCCAAGTTGTCGATTCTCTTTGGTGTCTTATGCAACTAGGACGTGGTGGTCCGTGCTTAGCAGCAATAGTTTACCACGCTCTAATGTCCACCTTGGAAATAGATCATTGCCTAGCTTCTGCGATGAAGCGAGTTCTGGCACAACCACACAGTCAAGTCCTTATGGTGGGCGACTTTAACCTTCACGCAATCGAAGTCCCAACATCCCTCAGCGAACAATTCAAGGCTGACTTACAAGTGGTAATCGCCGATGTACCTCTGTACAACCATGTCGCCTCTCCCACGAGATTCGGATCTGGTGACGCACCGTGTGCTAGCCAGCGAGAAAGGAATGGTCGATACCGTGATCATAGATGCACCACTTGGTCGTAGCCATCACGAGATGTTGCTCATTCGTTATATTTACTAGGCAGAGTACATCAGTGAGGACAACGACGAAACCCACGTCGTCACCCATTGCAACATCCTCTCCGATCTCCTCCTAGAAACCGACTGGTCCTTCTTAGCCGATCAACCGCCCGATGTCACCTGGATGATGTTTGTCATTCAATTCACCGGGCTAGTGACGAATGTGTCGACACGCAAGGTCTTATGACTGAAGCAAATGTAGTCCTTTCTGAAGAGTCGTATCTGAAAATGCATGGCTTTCAGGGGTTCAGTCTGGCACGCTTACCAAGTCTGTCCGAATAATCAGACCTGGGGTGCTTTCACAACTTAACCAGACCACTGTGTCAAGTTGATCCGCGAGAACAACCTTTAGCACCAACAGCACTTTGCGGCAAACTTCAATACAAATCCTAACTTATTGTACAGATACGTCAAAAAGCTCCGCAGAGTGCAGCGCGGGATCCCACTCTTACGTGTAACAGATTGATCTGGTGCAAACTACACAGGAGGTGACCAACACGCTTCACCAACATATCCACACTTTCCAGAGAATCATCAACTCAGCCGCTTTTGACGCAGCTCCCACCGCCACCAGGTTTAAACCACGTATCGTCCAAGACAGCCAATGTGACGAAAAGACTATTGTCCTTGTGCTTGCACAGCTCTCTTGACGTAGATGACATCCGACTGAAGACATTGAAGATCGTCGCCATGAACATTGCCGAAGCATTGGGTCCTTTCTTTTAACGATGTCTTGATGAAATGCTGGTTCCCACAATGTGGAAACATGGAATACTCACTCCTATTTACAAGAGTGGGGATCGTGCGTAGCCCTCGAATTCTCGTGCAATCATTCTCCTCCCAGTGTTATCCAAAGTAATGGAAGGTATAATCGCAGAGGTGCTCATGGGATAACTTGAGAACAACAACATCATAGTGTCAGCAGCACGGATTCATGCAAAGTCGGTCTTGCACTACAAACTTGCCTCTAGCCCGAGCAAGCTGGACAGAATCTGTCAATGCCTGAGTAGGAGTCGACGTCGTCAACCTGGGTTTCTCCAAAGCGCTCGATCGCTTGGACCACCGCATTCTACTTCACAAGCTTCGAAGCTATGGAATCGGTGACCCTATGATAGGTTTGATAATTATCTTCCTCTTTCAGCATCAGCTGAATGCCCGCAGCTCCATTTCTGATCCAATTGACTTGCAGTATGGTGTACCCCAAGTATCATTACTGTGACCACCTTTATTCCTAGTATTTATTAACGATCTCGCTAGTATACTGAAGTCGAACCTCTTATTATTTGCAGACGATATCAAATTCTGGCATGACATCGAGACATTTGGTTATCACACCGCACTGCAGAGCGATCTAGACAAAGCCTATCCGTGGTCATCTGAAAACCGGCTCCAGTTCAACGTGACGAAATGCGAAATTGTAGGCATACTCCACCAGCTTCCCCATGAATATCAGCTTGGGGACCAGCGGTTGCAACATCCTTCCCAGGAAAGCGACATCGGGGTAACCGTGCAGGAAGATCTTGGTTTCTGAAGACAGTCTGAAAAGGCATCAAAGTGAACCAGTCAATCTGTTGGACTCTTACGAATGGCTTTCGTAAATTTCGAGCTGTCGATCTTTCCGCCAATGCTGAACGCCTACTTGAGACACCACGTAGAATACGCAATCCGGGCACGGCGTCCCTGGGCCAACGCGATGTCGACACACTTGAAGCTCCACAACGTATAGCGACCAAACTCGTTAGAGGATTGTTTCACCTCCCCTCCCTGAGATTGTACAGTGGTGAATATCGGTGTCAGCGATGAGACATCATGGGTTACTTAATACTGACGAACCCGATTTACCTTGTCGCAATCTGTTACAGCTGAGCCAAATACCAAACTGAGAGGCCAACAGCTCAAACTGGCTACGCACTAAATTCGACTTGACTTGATTGTCGACAGCATTTTCTCCCTTCGGGGGTCCCCTACATGGAACGCCCTCTCAACTCACGTCATCCTTGTCCCTCCATTAACGCTTTCCAAGCAACGCCTTGATGACACGCTTTTCAACTAGCATTACTTGATATAGTCCGTTCCGCTCGGAAAACGAAATAACGTGAACCAAACTATGTGTTTACCAGCCCTCTCCGCAACGTGGCGATGAGGATACATGCATAATTGTCCTTGTGAATAGCTTGGATGTACCTAAACTGGATTAACGCGCCACCTCGGTCAACTGAAGGGGAACACAATTGAGCGTTTTCATTTCCGTTGTTTTATCTCACGGACAACGGAACTATTACTGCTCTCCATATGTGTGCACATTCCATTCCCATTTCAAGCTATCATTATACAGCAGTACAGTTAAGTCGGTAGACGCCTGAAGTGACGATTTACTTATCCTTTGTTCATTTCAATTGTCACTCCAACCATCCCACCGGACTTGTCAAGCACATGCTTTTTTACCCGTGATAAATCATTGTTCCTTGTTCGAACAATTCATTTTATGCCTGTGTTTTGTCACTTTAATGTGCAGTGTACTTTTCCTTTGTTTTTGTTCTAGCCTATTTCGATGCTTGCTCCCGTTTCTAACGAAAGATTGGTGGCACATCGTTCTCGCTCTGCTTCCATTAGCAATTCTATGTACGTCCGAGTCCTTTATGCGTTCCTACTGGATTCGGCGAGCGACTCTTTATTAGATGCAATTCCTCATCTTTCCCTTCGTTGCGAAATACGATCTAACAATCTGGGCCTCCCAAAACGCACTGTTATAGAGGATGGGGCTCTATCTGATGTCCTGATGACGACCCGTGGAGTTCGATTGGAAACAAAATCTTGGCCAGGTAACGAGCAATCACGACAAGCCAAAGTGTTCCTAAATGGACGCCTTCAAGCATGCGGTCTTAACACAACCGTCGTTCCCAGATCGTATGTAGCTGTGTGGAACGAAGATGCGTACATGTACGTGCTATCTCATCATTCCGTTTGTTTTCGCATTTTTCGAACTTCTTTTGCATCCATTCTTGTCCCCATGTTTTCTCCTCGCAGCCCACTAGATAAAGTCGCCTCCAATCTACTTGATGTCGTTCTCTTCATGGAGCGTGATGGATCGCCCTCAAGTAAGTAGTTCGTCTATCTACCCCCTTCGCCTCTTTCTTGCGCGGTTCATTACAACATTTAACTGGTGGGTCCCTCTATCCAAATAGCATACAACATTCAAGCACTCGGGGCTTAAATCTTTATTAGCTATCCTGGTTAATCCATTCGATCTCTACGCTGTGTCATTCATTATGGAGTTTTCGTCTACGCTTGGCTAGGGTGACCATAGAGACTGAACCCTTCAGTGGCGTTTTGTCCGTAATATCTCAAACTGTTAAATAGTTCAGTTTAATGCGTATATGTGGAGTCATTTATCCGGCCCGACTAGCCGCTGGGCTAATTCTCCTCCCTTTGATTTGCACATATAGGTTACCTGACTGGGAGTGTGTTCAGCTTGGTTCAGTCCTTGATCCATTAAGAGCGTAAAGCTGTCTGTACTGTTAATACAACTAAGTTCCAAGCGAAGAAAGCTGCGTTGCTTGTTGACTATAGGATGGTACGTTTATCCTAGGAGCTTCTGCAAAAAGAACGTCTGCTGTGCTCATTTCGGTCACAAATCCGTGAAACTATGGTCATACGGCGCAAACACGATACACTCCACTTGCTATATGAAGTTCGGGAGATGGCTACCCGTAGATCCTTATTGGGGTGGAGAGTCGAATTAACGATCTAATAAATTGACTTCTGTAACGCTACGCACGGATACTCATGTGGTACGCGACGGTCAAGTTGACGAAGACCATCATGATATATTCTCTGTACGCGTATCACTGTTCTATCAGTCGTTGTAGTGTAACTATGTGATCAACGCCTCTGCTAGTTCGTAAGTCCTCACAAACGCCAGTAAGCAACCGCTGTGTGTTAGCGATTTCGAGGTATTATCAAGCAGGTTATCGCTTCTATGATTCTCAAACAATGTCAAGTAGCCCATTATGAAGTTGCAGTTGACGGTTTTCTTCCGCAACTCTGAGAATACCTCTTCATCGCTCCACGTGGTGTTGTATAGAGCGATTAGACTAGCCACCAATTATTCTCCATCTTCCAACCGCGATGGAGGAAGGTCACCGAGTCTAGTCACTTGGTTTCATCACAACGGCGAGTTCATGTCGATTCTCGCATAAAGTACGGAGCTTGACACTAGCGTGCTAAATAGTTGCAAGTGAATCGGAAACTAACAGTCACGGCAGACTTTTCACAATCCGCTGCCTAATGGTCTTGCCAACAGGATTTAGAGTCGCTCGATTGTCCATATTTCTCGGCTATTGCGCTATAACTCCGGGCCTCCTTAGATTCGTGCTCCGGGTGTTTTTGAACCGTACGGCTTTGCTCTGGTCGCACCGGTATTTTTCCATATCATGTGCCCTATCAACTCCACCCATAGTCAGATGTCATTCCACGGTGTTGCTTACATATCGGAACTAATAACCTATCTAACAAACATGCACGCCTCAAGTAAGCGGCTTAGCGCTTCAGAAATCTATCCGAGGTTCTGGTAACTTAGTTCGGGTGACCCCGAGTGTTTTCTCTATAGCACGTGTCAGTATGTTCCAACCGACGCTGAGGTATTCGGACTCCCTCGTTTGTGACAGCTGGTGAGTCGTTTAGTGTTGATATCGCAAATTGGCTAAAGCACGTAAACGGGTTCCGATGGTCACTGAGTTTCAAGCTATCCGCAAGTCCCTGAAAAGTATAACAAGTAGTCTTCTAGTTGGCCGGGAACGCTGGTGGGTTGCAAAGACACGTGAAATGAAGAAAGCCAGTGCTATTGCAAGCATCCGAGTGCTATTCCATCTCATTCGGAACATGGGTCCAAGAAAGCCATCGATTAGCCAGACAATAACTGAAAAACATGGATTGTCGATCCATTCACAGGTTCGTTGACTAGCACGTCGGGCGGAACATTTTCAGGAGCAATTTAACAGGCCTGTTACGTCACTGCCGCTTTCCGAATCACTTGAGCCTACGTGGGAAGTTGATATCACACCTCCCATTTTGTAAGTGACCCGATATGTGTTTTCCGTGTTGGAACGAAACACGGCTCATGGACCCGACGACCTTCTTTACTGAAATATCGTGTTGACCCTATGTTGACTGGACTAGCTTGTATGTTTGACATGATTTGGAATAGTGAAGAGGTACCTTTAGATTGGCGACTGTCAACTATCGTACTCATCTTCAGGAAGGGTCAGCGTACTTTGTGCGAAAATCTTCGAGGCATTGGCCTTATCTCCATCGCATAAAAACTTCTCATGGGTCTAATTCTTCAACGACTTACTGGTGCCCTTGAGGACCGAATCACGGAAAGCCAGACCGGGTTCCGCCCTGGCAGTGGTTGCATCGACCTAATAGTTGCTCTTCGCCGTTCTAGAGCTGAGACACATTCATACGACCGATTAAAGTAGTTTTCCTTGTCTTGAAAACTGCCTGCGACTCTGTTGACTGCGCCAACTTATGCCACTGCCTACCCATGAAGCTCGTGCCAGCTAAACTTCTTTAAATTCTGATGTCCCTATACTGTGATTCCCGAGGTCGTGTAAGGGTCTACGAAAAACTCTCCTGAGTTCCGCACGACAAGTGCGGTTTGCCAAGGTTGTCGTATACCTCCTTTTCAACTTTGTGATCGAAATGATCATGAATCACTGGGTTCTTTCAGACTATTCCGGAGTGGAGGTTCTGCCAGGCGACCGACTGATAAACCTGTAGTATGCGGACGGTACTAGTTCTCTTTGGGTCTGATGCATTGGCTATGCAATCATTACTGCACAGACTTGTGCGTAGCGCTGCACGCTTCGGCATATGTTTCGCACCTTCTTTGTGCAAAGTACTGCTGCAGGACTAGACCGACACACTTCCGGTTCTAACTGTCACCGAGCAGCCACTGGAAGTGTTGGATCGGTTCACTTACCTCTGGTGGTCACATCACTGAGGAAGTTACTTCGCGTATCAGCAAGGCCGTGTCGCTTTCCAGGGACTCAACCATCTATGGGTGCGGCGGGATATCAGCATGCCAGTGAAAGGTAAGATGTATAACGCTACCGTAAGGTCTGTTTTACTGTATTGATCGGGGATCTGCCTAGTTCACTGCGAAGACACTAGACGCTTGGCCGTGTTTGACCACCGGTGTTTGTGAAGTATTGCTCACGTCTGATGGGAACACCGGGTGAGCAATGCTGAGTTCCGCTAGTTGGGTTTTTGCAAGAAGCCTTATGATGCCTCTCTCTACATGTAAATGTGTGTCAGTTGTACGCCGTAACGGCGCTTCGCTACCGTGCGACCACCACCAGTCGCGCGCGGGCTGTGTATACCGCGAGGACGCCCACCCCTACGCGGATTCGAACCGGTGACCTTATGATTCCAAACCGAACGTGTAGACCACTCGGCCACCGGCCGACGGTCTCTCTAGTGTTTGCTGAATCTTAATCGCTTGCGTTGGCTAGACCATATTCTCCGTTTACCCGTTGATCGTCTTCCTCGGCGTGCATTATACGCCCTGGCCGCAGCAATTTGGGCGAAACCGCTAGGTGGTCAGTCCATGATGTGGCATAGTGGTATGAAGCAATTGACTGAAGTCTTGTCAGGCCGGTGCGTGCCTAGGGATAGTTTACACCAATGCTTGGTGATTGTATCAGACATGGCGCAGTCATTGGCGTTCCTGCATTTGTTTACTGGTCGTTAAGTATCTGGTTGTTAAATATCGTCTCACGCTGATTAGGCTCTCTCTTTTCTATCTTGCCTCTATTTTCTACATTCTATTGGCACCCAAACCCACTGTTATACCGGTGTTATTTCTTGTCATTCTTACGGTGAGTCGTGGCAATTGGATCCACCGCACTTCGGTGCTCGGATCATACAGCATGGTTATCGAAATATCATACCGTTTGTTTTGTTCATTACGGATGTATTTATCATCAAAATATTACAAATTAGTGTAGAATTAATTGTATGCGTCTGGAACATTAGAAGATCAGAATGCAGAATCCTTTGTATGGACCGACTGTTGATTTGCTAGAAATTCTTGTGAAAGGAACGCGAACTACTTCCATGTTTTCACGGGTGCAAACACTTGGTCTGCGCTTTTGATTCTTCTCCACCACAGAGACAGTTGTTTCAAATTGGCGATACAATTTCTGAATACCTTTTTACTTGGAGCCCATTTTGTAACGAAGTGTATACGAAATGTCTTTATGACGCTACCAAACTCCTAGTTTCTATAAAAAACATTAAAACTTTCACCTTCAATTCAGCACGCAATCTGCTCTTATTCGCCATCTTGAAAATTTTGTTTGACCCCAAGAAAATATGCCTTGCAAACTTCTCGTGACATCTATCGGATTTTCCATAAACCGAAGTATACGAATACGAGTTTTCAACATTACATCTATATTACATGCGTAACGAACAAAACAAGTGCTATGACATTTAGTGCGCCACCCTGTAGTTGTTCACCTATACTTAACTGAACTCAGCTGAAACTAAAAAATTGAACTCCATTCCCTTGTGTGTCAAGGCACGGTCGGATTCCTTGTGTTTATTCCTATTCGACTAGTATTGTTGGATCGGCATGCACCATCACACTCTCTTGGTGATATGATAACTTCGGGTCCAAGTGATTTCTGAGTTGGGTACGCATCAACGTACATGATGTCATTGTTTGTAGTGGGCAGAAGTGTTATTATTATGTTTGGGTTGGGGCCAGTACTCGTTCAAGAGATCTACGACTGTTATCTTCTACTATTTGTCAATCTAGTGATGACGTAGTTCTGAGTCCGACAAACAACACACTGAGCATTCGAGTCGTGGACATCGATAACAATATGTGTATTCATTACCATATTGATAAGGGACCAAAGCTACTGCTAGAATTCGTTTTCTTGCATCCGAGATGCAGTCGATTGGAATATATAACGAAACGCAATTCATACGCTTAGTTCTCAGGGAGTATAACTTTCACCTAATCAAAGAGGTAAGCAATATAGCCATTATCAACCTATTCTGATCCTCTTGGTCGTTGGTCCAATACCTTGCGGGTGTTTTTGCGTTCTTCCGGGACACATCTCGCATTGATTTCAGACAAGTGCAGAATGGGCCACCGCTGCTTGTTTGCCTATCTGACATTGATTTGGAGGCGTTTGGAACGATCATTTCGGTACTGTGCTTCAACTTGAGATCTCATTCTATTTGTTTGTTAACGTGTCAGTGAGCTTTGAAAGGGAGAAAAACAGCCGGGAGGGAGAGAATTACTCTCCTTGTCGGACTACCTGTCTGAAGTGTGTTTATTGCTGATTTATCTAAGGGGTAATGGCTGATTATGACGCGGAGCAGAGAAAGCCGCAAGAAAGCTGTCTCACCGATACCGCCTTATCTTTGCACCATAGCCAGCTGTTTGTCACGGTACATTGTTGACAAGGTCTAAGTGTCTTGACCCTGAATGTTTGCTTAGGGCATTGAATATTTTCCTTAAGTCCCCCTTTCAGTATTCTTCGATCCTTAGATCATCATGGTTGTATGGCAGAAAAGCATTATTTAATATGGTTGATGTGCTGCTGTTGTTGTTGATGATGATGATGATGATGATGCATTAGCTAAAGCGTCTTGTGGACTCGCGGCACTGACTGCCAAGTCGGATAAATAGTCTTAATGTAAAGTCCTCTACCTGTAGTGTTTGGCTTAACTTTGTGACCATAGAGTCAGTGGCCTAACCTGTTATTTTTCTAAGAGACTAAACCCTAAGACTTTGACTTGACAGTGAGAAACACACGAGCAAATGAAGTGGAATGTACCACATGGTTAGCGAGTTTTTATGACGACCCAATTAAGTTTCGCAGTTAAGCTGATTCCGAAGGACAGGAGTCGCGCTAGATGAGCCAATGAGATTGGCACTTGGGATTCTTCTCTTGATGGAAGGAGGACGTGATGAGAAGGTATTAAGTAGTTATCAAAGTGAATAGACTTACGCATTATCGACATTTGTGCGCCAGTCACTACCGTTTAATGGTTTCACATGATTTGGCTAGGGAACTTTGCTCTAGACTAGCACGGTTTTCTTTTAAGCATGCCAAAATCAGTGCAGTAGAGTCATCATCATCATCATACACGTTAGCTAGAGGTGGGGAACACCTCAGCTACTTTGCCGCAATACACAGAAAAAAGGAGAGAAAAAAGAATTCAACTGGTGCAAGCCGGCTGAGCTACCGGTAACGGATGGGCATCGTTCTGGTAAGCTACCAACCGGCTACTATGCAGCAAAAAAATTTACTTTGCAAAATTATATAAGGTTAAATAATGAGATCGTGGTTGGAGGGGGAGGCTAAGAGGGATGGGGTGGGACAAGGAAACTCACAGCACGAACGCCACTGAGGTCGGCTCCTAGCCATCTCAGCAAGTGTGTCCAACCAAACGTGTTCATCGTCTTTCGGGCCCCAACCAGGGAGCCGAGACGTTCCAACCGAGGCCAGCTCAGAAGTGAGCGCCTTCATTCTTCTCGACCAAGTCATCGCTTGACCACCCCTCTTCTTCCATCCACACCCCCGGCGCGCAAACAACGCACGTCGCGGGAGTCGGTGGGCTGGCATGCGTAACACGTGGCCCAGCCATCGGAACCTGGTGCGTGAAATGACGGTGCTGAGCGGTTCAGTTCCTTTTCCTGTACCATAAGCAAGGCGTCGAACACGCTCGTTACTCACGCGGTGTTCCCACCAGATGTGAGTTAAATTACGAAGGCACCGGTGGTCGAACGTAACTAGCCTCTTCAGGTCCGCTGCATTAAGCGACCAGGTTTCACAACCGTACAGTAGGGTCGAACGTACGTACAGTAGAGTCCTCTATACCATGTCCATGTGCCCAAAGGAAGTTGCGTCAGTATATATTCTGTGAACCTTTGATGGTTGACGCTCATTACGCTACAATCCTTGAACAGCTCTTGAGAAAGTCTAACTCTGATTCCCTTATTTTTTCGAATGTTATATCCCATACTAGATCTCCGTCTGACTGGACACATCTGCTTAGATCGCCCGGACGGTAATAACCCATTGAATTCTGAGTTTAACTACGCCACACAACAGTTCTTTTTGCTCCTACTTTAGGGACTATTGACACGTCGTTGACACATGGCTTAACGCAACTAGTCACTTGAATGTAATGGAGGGGCTTGTGCGAATTTCGGGTGGGGATGTAGTAGCAACAATTTCCGGGCTACTTTCAGAACACCAGATTTTACTGTCCCCCGACTGGCTTTGTCCAAGTTTGGAACAAAATATTCCCCCTATGATTCCAGACAGAAAACCAGAAGAACTAGTTTGTAAGATGACGTTACCATTTCCTTGATTTTTATCAATTACACTTATCAACTGTGATAGGTAAACAAGGACAGTCTTCTTTAAGGTATGGGCTCACCCAAACCTTACAGTGACGCGTGATGATGAACAAGACCACCGTCTTCCGTATCTGATTACGCGGTTGCCAAACTGTTCCATCAAGTCTCCACAGAATGCCAACCTGAGTTGTTCAGTATCTGAATTTTACGAGTTTCTCCCCTATTTCACACACACTCTGGCACGGACATTTTTATCGGACACATATGCTATGCAATTCGGACACCATAAAAACAGAGAGAGCTACTGCCCGATACACTACAAGCTAACGGTTATCTTTTACAGTTTAGTAAGCGTCTTAGTGAAACATCCAAGCGAGATCATGTGTCTATAATTCAAAGGAAGCCAATCTTCATTGACTGCTTTACAATGGTTGCCACGTTAGGAAGAGCATCGTGAAACGAATAAGTACCTTCTTATAGTGGGCGTACAGTGCGGCAGAACTGCGGCTGCTCACCTCGACGAGGCTTACGCCTGTTTTAGATTAAGACACCGACGACAAGGCGGCACATATCCCAATGTCTACACCCCTAACTCTGCTGACTGTTAAGTTTGTCGCATTGACTGAAGTTTGGGTGTTAGAATCAGTGATGACATTTTCATATGGTTATGCAGTCAGATGGGGCGTGCGACAACGGGATCAGTTTAATCTCGAAACTGAGCTTCTTCGACATTCACAAAGCACTTACCACTGGGCACCGAATCGACCTTGGTCAGTCATTCATAGTCCTATGGCGCGACCGGTGGCCCCACATGCTTAGAATACTGAAGGCCATCGTTATTGATCCCAAACACTTACCTCTGTGCCTTCGAAAACAACCGACTGTTTCCATAAGCCTACTTTGGTAGTGCAAGTGTTGGGCCATCTACGATTGCATATGACACTATTATTGTTTTTTGCATTTTTGTAATTGGTAATAGTGTACGAAAGGGTGACCTCTTTTCACAAACACCATCTCTTGATTTTCCTGTTTGTGAGAGTTGCCGGTTTAGGGAGCCTTGCACTTCTTATATCTGGAACTTTTCAGTTTCGGCCCTTCACCACTAAGATGCTTCCAGCGGCCTATGCTTTTTAACAGTGACGAGTTTCACGTGGTCCTCAAGCCTATCTGGCACTTCCATACGTATCCATGTGCAGAGAACATTTGTAAGTTACGACAAATTTACCCACGGTTCTTTCGCTTAAAAGCGTTAATCACAGAACGGGTTACAGCCAGGGGTTTTCACCTCGCTTACCCTAGTTCTGGCAGATGCAAATGTTCTTGGCTATATTCATTACTTGTTACAGCCAATTAACAAGACCAGCGACAGATTCACTCTGTCTTGCTCACCGGGTTCTCTTTGTTCTCGCGTATTTTTGTAGATTTATCTGATTTTGTGCTTGATACTTTTTATTTACAACACCTTACTATTGAGCAGCTCGCGAGCAAATCCTTCTAATGTACTTTCTCTTGCATCTGAAATTGTCTTCCCCCACTTCCCATGATCTTGCCCTTCATTCGGCGGATCAGTATTATTACCATCTTGATCTCATAAACCCACTCGTATCATGTCACGTTTCCTGAATCACGCAGGTCGCTTTTGATGATTCTTTTATTATTTTGTTGCACATTCAGTGGATCTTTTAGTGAGAGAGTCGGCTGTATATTCATTGCTGTATCGTCTTCCTCTTGCTTCTCTTTTCAGTTACCTTGACTCATCTCTCCGGGTGCGCTGTTTTGCCACTACCGAAATTCATGGAGGATCCGTCACAGTCACAGCATGTTCTCCTCATTGAATGTTCTCCGAGTTCGTCTACTGATGACTGGAACACTGTCAACACCGATACTACTGTCTGCTCCACCGCGATGGGAGTTGCCTCTGATATTCGAGCCAAGTTTATGCTAATACTTCGTGTAAGTTGGCTTCTTCCTTTGGATAGTTTATTTCACTACATCGGTCGCTGTTTCTTCTTTGCAGACGGAACATATTTCTTACATCAAATTACCGCTTCACATTATAAATACCAATTACTCGATCCAGCTCTATTTTTCCGTATATTTCTGTAGAACCGAGTTAACTTGATTGCGATATCATTTAATTCGATCTTAATTATGGACTTTGTATCCTGACCTATTCTCCGGTTACTATTGCCTAGCGAATACATTGATAAGCCTAGAAGACCTTTGATATGGTGATTAGGACTTGCAAAGTCAATATCCCTGTTTTGGGTCCCTGTTTCTTTCCGGGTTTTGTCACGCCTTCTCTATCGCTACCCGCATATTACCGCCGTCGGTTGTTTCATAGCAAATTACGGGGCACTGGTGTGTTGCTGTTGCTTTTTTGAAGCATGTCCTCTACTCCTCCGTTCCTTAGGTTTCCTCTTTTCTTCTCATTCCATTTTTTATTGTTCTTCAACTTTGCTTTTGTTTTTTAAGCGCTCAGCAAATGCTTATCATCGCCCGGTTATTCTTTCTTGTGCTCCACTTCTATCCATTGTCCATTACTTTTGCTCTGTTAACCAATAGATCCCTCTAGACATTCTCGTCCTCTCACAAATAGTTAATTTTCGGACTCGTTTGTCCCCTCGCGACCCACGAATTTACCGAACTATGTTGAGGGTCGTTTTGAAGTACATGTTGTGTGGATGGATTGCGACGCGCAATCTCAATGTTGACGGCGATTCCTATTGAAGTGAACCTTGGGCTTTCGATCACGAGGATCGTAGCTGATGCAGATAGAAATTGAGTGTTGCCCGCTCGAAAACACTGCACTACTATGAGGCGTTTCAATGTTATTACATCTCATCAGATAGAGTTAGCAGGCATCGAACCCGGGACCTTGGGATGGTAATTGTGACTACTACATCTAAGCACCGGGTCACGTCGGGCACCGCTTGGCACAACGGTATAATGAACGACGTTGAGGATCATTTTGAAGTACACGTTGTGTGGATGGATTGCGACGCCCAATCTCAATCTCTGATGAGATGTAATAACATCGAAACGCGTCATAGTAGTGCAGTGTTTTCGGGCGGGCAACACCCAATGTACAGAACCGTTTGCTTTGGTTTTTCACTGTCACGTGTGACGCGTTGCATTTGTCAACTAGATTTCTCATCTGCTGCTCCGTTCATGTGGCTTGGAAGGATCTCCGTTCGATCGTCCACGTATCAACAATTTCTTGGCTCACTTACTTGCTGGATGATGATAATAGGTCGTTTCTGCCAATCCTAACTGAAGGCTTACCAAAGTGAAAAGTACAGTTAGGAACAGTTAATAGCCAATACTAATATGTCCAGTGTTATTTTGTGCGTTTTTTAGGCGAAGCCACAGGTTAGAGTCATTTCTTCTATGTGCTCCAAGTCGAGAAGTCGATTAACACCACACTTTCTATCTTTTGGTCGACGAATGCTTTTTCCATAACTTTGTCGATAACGATATTGAAGAGCAAAGAGGACAACGGATGTCCTTAGTCTCTTATATCTGCTTGTACTGTGAGGCGGTGACGACTTGCCATAAGCCCTCACCGTCCAAACTACACGTGTAAAGCATTCTCTGGTACGTTAAGCTCACATTAATTGCGCTTAGTCACCACATTCCGCGTCCTTTATTATCACCGTTTGCACTGGAATGAGTTGAATTATTTTTGATCATTGGGGCGAACGATACGAATATGATCACATTTCTCGGCAATTCTGACTATTGGATCCTACTGTACATGACATTCCTTAGAAACTGACGATTTTGAGTGGTTCCCTGAGTTAAGTTTTGGAACAAACCCAACAGTCAGTTTATTTAGATCGATGCAATAAGACTACACACGTTCATACTTTTTATTCCAGGTGTGGTATTTGCTTTTTAGGTAACCGATCGATACCGCTGTTTCAGAACTTCATCTCCCATTTTTATTCCGCTTGCTGGTACCTATGACCACCATGTGACCAGTATTTTGTGGTTTTCACCAGTCATCAGTTTCGCTCTATCATGGTACCGAGTTGTTTGACAGGCTACAGTCCCATGTAAGGCAGTCAGTAGCACTACCTCTGGTTTTTAATAACTTGATAAACTGCACTTTATTAAAGAATTACATCTCTGCAATTTAAGGCCAAATTACTTTGACTTTATGGGCACTGTCTCTGGCTGCATGACCACAGTGTAGTGATTCGGTTTTTTCACCATCGTTTTTCTATGCTCTTTCGGTGAACATCGGTAATCGGTTCTCTCTTTTTCTTTTTCGCTGTAGATTCAATTACTAGCCGACTTGTCTCTCGACTCCGATTCAAAAGTGCAGAAGCCTAATCAAGGTAATTTAGGTCACATAAGTGCAAGCCGCTTCACTTGACTATATACTGTGTTTAAATGGTGGATCATTATTTTCTAAGTCCAATGTTTAGGAGAATGGCCATGTGACTAACAAGCGTTTCATTTCACTCGCTAAATCTGTATCAGTTATTTCTGCTAACATTTTCCAATCTGTCTACTCAACTGACTAACCATAGTTGTGTCAATATGAAAGCGAGCACTCACGGTGTCCATCCAGGAAAGGGCGAATTTTACAATTACCGTTAACTACTCCTTCCTCCCTTCATTGTGTGCTTTGGGGCACGGTTGCTCGCCAACCTTCTCATCTTTAACATCCGTAACTGCGTCGTTCGGAAATAATTAGAGCAATAACCTTACCTCACACTTTTTACTTGCTTCATATTACTTTTTCTCACCCGTTTTGAAATATCGGAACCTGTAAAAATCAGTGACTTCCACGCCGCTAGGATGTACATATATCTCCGGCAAATTATGGGGCTTTTATTGTTAGCTCGACGCTCCAATTGCTTTGGATGGACTTGCGTATCCACATATTTGTGCAACTATCATTCTCCTTATTTACACTCCTGACCTTGTGAAATCGCCGTGATTGCACCCGGGTGATATCTGCACTAGCAGAGTTATCAACCGTCATTTAGATTATCTCTTCGGTCACTGTAAACTTGGTTGTGCGTCGATCCTAGAAGTGCTTTGACACTCTTCACTCGCAGCTAAATCTCAGCTCAGACTGTGATGTCTTGAAGAACATTACTCGATTTTCCGCGACAGCATTTGCTTTTACCTCAATACTCCACCTATAACACAGATAAATCTGATTCCTCGTTTATAATTGTACTCATTTAAACATGCGCTCTTGACTTTTTCCGCATCTTTTACTAAGCCCGCCACTGTTTTCCTGACACTTTCTGGATTATCCAGTATTGTTAAACCTGCCAAATTTGAGAATCTCATCTATTTGGTATTCTTAATTAATCTGCTACTGTTTGCGCTTTTTTTCTGACACTTGTTAGCAAGTGGGGCTTGAGCATAATTGCTCGTGTATGCGTATCTGCAGCGGTAAAGTCAGACAGCGTGTCTTAGCGAATCCGAGTATTCCCCTCAACAAGCTGATTTTACGCCAGTTAAGATGGCTCGGTCACGTCTGGCTTATGTCATCTGAGCGGTCCCCATTCGCGCAAGATTCGGCTGGATGAGACCACGTGGTGGTCAGCCGTCTGTCTGGTGATATCACCTAAATTCCTTGAAATCGCGTCTATCCGCCTTTGGATCCACACACAGGCCTAGTTAGTGACGAAAGGACAATGAATACGGATGGACTCAAACACTTCAGGATATGGCACACGGCCGAAACCGGTGGAAGATTCCTGTCCATTATTGTTTAGATTCAAATATTAGATGGTAAACAAAGAAAGAACCAAAATGGACAAGTACGATGTGTGAGAAATATACGAAGTGTTCCGTTTTTCCTGTGCTATATCTGTTATCAGTTAACATCGCTTTGGATGACTATATCTGTCCGTTAGACGGTTGCTGGTACGTATACACTATTTTCACTTTTACTTAGACGTTTTGCTAATCACATTGGACGTTTTGCAAGACAAATTACAAGCCAACGTAGATACCTTGCATTCTAAGCAGAAAATCAGCAATTTGTTAGCAAGAAATGAGGAGTAAGGCAACGAGTGATGTTCAGCTCATTTCGTAGTCATGCTAATGAAACCGAACTGTGTAAAATGCAGGTGCCACTGCAGACCCTTTTCCTCATCGGACTTCGCGTAGCTTATGTACCTGTGCCTTCGCATGAACTTGTGTAACTGTGCAACTATTAAAATATCAGACCCCCGATTCGCGTAGTCTCTTATGATTTAGACAAGTGTTACGTGCCATTGGTGAGTCATTGTGAAGCACTTGTTTTGTGGACGGATTGCAATGCGCAATCTTAATGTGAACCATGATTCCCATTGCCAATTCGATCACCGAGACCATAACTGATGAATCAGATAGGCGGTGACCCAGTAGCTCCCTGTCACTCTGTGAGCCTTCGCCTATTTTGTGTGGCTGCGTGGACGAACCTATACGGCTACACGACTATTGCAACAGTGTAGGCTATCTTGACTTATCCAAACCTAGGCTAGCTTTATTGGGCTACTGCTGAAATCCGTTATCAAAGAAAGGAGGATAAGGAGACTGAACGATGTTCAGACCACCTTGTGCTCACGCGAATTCAACGGGAGTGCGCAAGCAGTGGGCGATTTTGCAAGCCCTTCTCTTGGTCTTAGGTACTGTTCACCACGATCAAAACCTTTGACTCAGTTGTCCCCTGCCTCTTCATAGGCCTTCGTGTAATTTATGTGAGTGTGTGCGCGAACCTATGCAGCTGTACGACTATTAGAATAGTGTAGGCTATAATAACTCCGCCAAAGCCCAACATCGCTTTATTTGTCTTGTGCTGTACGAAACTACAAAAATAAGCGACGGACACCGAGAGAACGCATCCCCGAGGCTGCAGCGATACAAGCGAATCCCATCGGCACAGAAAGAGCTACTCACCAAGCTTGTATTTGTCAACTGCACAACTACCCACGAAACTGATAAACTCGGCGATGTCATCGAGAGCGCTGCAAGAAACATCATCATTGCCTACAGGGAAGAAGGCACAACACTCAGCGCCAATGGGACGGAAACAACAGGGAGAAGCTGACTCACGATTTCCCATAGCTCGCTGTAGAGACTGCCGAGACATTTCGGTACAACTGCAGCAGAAGTTCAGTGAGAAGGGGATCCACCTATCTTTACCTACTATCTTCAACACTCAGGAGGCTAAAGATAACGCTCAAGAAATACCACTCTGAGCTAGATCGCGTCAACAGTGCCATGACAATCCCAAACTGGCAGGCCTAAACTATCGACTTTTCGGATTGGTTTGGAAAGCGCCAACTTTAAGATGAAATTGCATAATAACATGAAAAAGAGCGGTAACGTTGAAGGTCAGTTGATTAATGGCTGTATAACACCCTCCACCTCGATTACGGGGTCCAGGAATCTGCGAATCTTTGCTCAGAGTGACGGGTTGCGCGCTTCTGACGGCCGTGCTAGGCTCAAAGAGTGATTCCATCCGGTTTGCAGCGGACTACGGCCCAATCGGCACCTTGTGTACCCATGATTCCCCACATAGATAGACAGGAAGTCTGCTGCTATGCATGTTGTGCGATTGTGATCCGGCTCCGTGGCCGCAACATGGCTCCCATCCACAGGCCTCCCGGTTGTATTCTTTCCGATTTACACTGAATATGTGGTGTGTGGATGAAGCTGTGGGTGGTGGTTCAACACAACCCACCCATGGTCGCCCTGTATGCGCAGTCGTCCTGTGGCTGTCCAATGAAGGCCTCTATGACAGGCAAATCGCGAATCGGATGCCGCTAACCACATTCCGCATTGCACCTCCGCATCTTTTGAAAATTACCTCGGTTTTTGGTGTCTTGGCTCACCAACAGAGGCACAACATTTCGAGTATTTTTTTTCTAAGCTTGTTCTGACAAGTGTGCTGCTACCCTAGGGTACGTATATTTTCACTACAGGGTTTGCTCTGTTCTATTGATTTTTGTCGTCACTCTTGGTCTGTCGAACGTCATACTTACTGTTGAACAAATAAACGATCTACTCTCCATGGTGCGAGGACACGCCTTCAAAGGCACGATCATGATAATACAAACGCGTAACATCAGTAATGGTACAGAAATGTTACGATTTAACCAGTACTTACTGCATATATGTGTGTATGTATGTGTAGTATGTATGTGGGTGGATGTGCAAGCAATCGTGTTGTCTGAATTTGTTATTATTACTGTGAGTTTGCGAGTTTGTTCGCTGAATGCACCAATATAGGAAGGGATTAGATGGAATCTTTGTGGTGGTTGACGTTCGCGAAATATGTAAGATCTTCCTTTATGGCAAGGCAGTGACTTTATTTAGTAGCGGGTCATATCCGTCACGTCACAGTGTTGTTAAGAAGACATTTGTGGCTGTTTATAGGGAGAACGCTTGCCAGCCGAAAACCCACCACGTCCTGGAACACTGCCGCCGAACTATTAGCTTAACCGGATTAACCCGAACCATTCAGCTGACATCACGTAGAGATTGTTCGTCTAGCTGGTTCGCATGTCCTTTGAGCGAGAACGATGTCCATTAGTTTAGCGTCTTCTTAAATTTTTAGAGCATGTGCTACGGATCGTTGTAGTACAATCTCATCTCTGCTTGCATCAAACCTAAACTTGACCGTTGTCGAATCGAGTGCATCCGTCGCACGTTGCTACCCACCTGCACTGTATCCAACCAATGCGCAAATATATGCCAGCATCATTATCCGTGTAGCTACTACACAAGTTAGATTTCTTGTTCCGAAACCTTATGTCCACAGCCCGCCATTTACGCAACGCTCGACACTGTTGCAGTATTCACGCGCACCTATTGCGTTATACTGTACTATTGCACCATATGCTCTATAGATTTAGAACCTGAGTCTAGCATTGCTTCACATCTGAAATTACTGCCAAGCCATCTTAAATCTGCTCGCACAATTACGCTTCAATACGGTCCCTACTATTATAGCTGTTCTAAGTTCACCCAATGGACATAATCTTGACTGACAAAATCCTACTCTGGTTGTATGTCACAGATGTCAGACTTGTAAGCATACACAGCATACATACGAGATACACTTCCATGCAGATGACTTGGTCGATTCCATCACTTGTCGTCCCAACGCGGTCTCTACCATAGGTTCTTTGTCTGATAAAGCGTGCAGTCTTAGAGCGCTTGCTCACGTTGATCGAGTTTCGTCGCAGTTACTCGAATTATAGAGTTAGTTGTCTCTTTGATCTCCTAACAGTAGCATTGGAAAATGGCTACCTTCGCTCTATTAGTGTGCACGCGCAATCATATTTGCTGTCTTTCACTTGGGCGACTTCTCAGTGTTTTCTGA